TATTATATGTCCTGAAACATTTTTGTACATCTGGAAACATTTTGGTAACCCCCCCCCCCCCACCCTCTATCTAACCTCACACACACCCTCAGACGAAGTGGTCGCAACGGCACTGAGTATACATCTTTTGAAAACAGGCGAGGGGTTATTGCATGCATGTATTTCTAGTAACTGAATTAAAATTGCTATTTTTTGGCATTGGCGGCATTGCAATTACCATCCGGTTGACATGAATTGTTTTAAAGCATGCATGCCATTTGATACGGGATTAGGCACATCCATCGTCACCTTCTGTTCCGTATAGCGGATGTGTTTATTTTGGCGACGCGTAAAGGCCGATATAGCCACTTTTGCGAGAATAGCTATTGGGAGAAGATGCGTGTTTTGTGCAGATGTGTTTTTTATACGCACGAACGTTTTGGAATTTAAACAATGTTAAGGCTGCTGAAAAAAAATCGGAAATCGGCTTCCTGTGATTGTTATAGCGGTACCATATAATGAGTTACGTGTTGAATGACAGGCTAACAAAGTTAATCTTTAGAGTTAGGGGTTAGACTTAACCGAAAATTTTTAAAAACTTTATTTTTGTCTTATATGTCTATATATATATATACATATATACATATATATATATATATATATATATATATATATATATATATATATATATATATATATATATATATATATATATATATATATATATAGATATATATATTTGAGATATGTATTGTAAGTAATACGGGCAACAAAATTGCTGCAACTTGCAAGAAAATCTGATTTCAACGCATGTTTAAGTAGAAATGTTGACACATGTTGCACACATGTTGCCTCGTGATTTGTAATGTATGTGTAAGGGGGCCAAATTCGTAGTGGAGTCCAAATCCGCTAGCGAATAAATCCAAAGGTCCATATTCGCTAGAGGATATTGAGAGTGGTCCGTATTTGCTAGCGGATTTGGATAATGTCCTAATGATAAAATGCTATTAAAACGGAGAAAGGGATTACATGACCAAAATCCCGGTCCCCGGCTGAATGATGGAATTTTTAGCCCTGTTTGAGCTGAAATTTCAGGCCGGCCTGAGTTGCAGCCAGACAGTATGTAATCGCAAATAATTTCAGCCCGGGCTAAAAAACAACCGTTGAACTTGAAATGGCTTTATTTTGCGTGTTTGTTAATGTCATTACTTATCGAGTTAATTTAAGGCTACTTTTCAGTCCGCAAAATTATCCATGGATTGGAACGGGCAAGATAATTTCTCCTTTTTTCCTTGTGTTGAAGTCATTAGTTCCAACGCAGAGCTCACAACAGAAATAAAAATTTTCTTGTGCGTTGAAATGCACGAATAATTTTCGTGAGTTACTGATTGAATCTACCTGCAAAACATCAACTAATAAACTGTGTACTGAAGTCATTCATTAGGTGAACGTACGCCAGGGAATATATATATATATATATATATTGATATATTGCGTGGTTTATTAGGAGCGAGACAACAACATATTAAATCGATATATGACGTGCATGGTTTCTTAGGAACAAAACATAATATATTGATATATTGCGTCGTTCCTTAAGAACGAAGAAACAACATATTATATTGATATATTGCGTGCTTTCTTAGGAAGAAAGCAACATGACAATATATTCATATATTGCGTCGTCCCTTAAGAACGAAGCAACAACATATTGTATTGATATATTGCGTGCTTTCTTATAGGAACAAAGCAACATGACAATATATTGATATATTGCGTCGTTCCTTAAGAACGAAGCAAGAACATATTATATTGATATATTGCGTACTTTCGTAGGAACAAAGCAACATAATATATTGATATATTGCGTCGTTCCTTAAGAATGAAGCAAGAACATATTATATTGATATATTGCGTACTTTCGTAGGAACAAAGCAACAACATATTATGTACTATTTAAAACACGAGTAGGAGTGTTTTATCAGATATATAACGCGAGGCGCAGCCAAGCGTTATATATCTGATAAAACACGACAACGAGTGTTTTGAATAGCTTAAAATACGAATACAAAAGAATACTAATTAGGATGAACCATTATATAATGACTCATGCTCTATCAGATATAAAGTCATTCCACGTGACATATTATGGCTGACATGATTTGCCAAAAGGTTTATGAATTATTAATGAGTATTTTAAATTGATATATTGCATGCGTGCTTTCTTATAGGAACAAAGCAACATGACAATATATTGATATATTGCGTCGTTCCTTAAGAACGAAGCAAGAACATATTATATTGATATATTGCGTGCTTTCTTAGGAACAAAGCAACATAATATATTGATATATTGCGTGGTTCCTTAAGAACGAAGCAACAACATATTATATTGATCATAACAGTCAGTTTTAATATGATGGACATTCTTTGGTGGTCAAATGTCCATTGGACATTATACTCAATATATCCACGATGCCCTTTCCCGGTGGTTACAAAGTCCGGTTTAGTCCATTTGATCTAATTGACACCCAAACATCCAATGGACATTCGATATGTCCATTGGACATGCACATGTCCAATGGACATTTGAGCTGTCCATTCAATGGACAGTCATATGTCCAATGGACATTTCATATGTCCATTGGACATTTGCGTTAGTATTGGACATGTATGTGTTTTATACGTCGAATTTCGGTTGCGTTGAATGCAATTCAAACAACAAATAATGAAAGCTTAATGAGGTTTATTATCTCATTATCTATTGTCTTAATTGCATTCGACGCGACCAAAATTTGTCGTATAAAACAGGCCTTGGACAATATATAGCGCGATTCTCTTAAAATATTCCACCATGTACCATCTTAACCATACGAAAGGGTTATTATTTATATATTTTTATTTATTCACGCTGCAGCATGACACACAGTGATCGCGCGTGCGCTATCTATATTATGCAATAGCAAAATATAATTAGACCATTAAGCCAGGTCACGCAATTTATTTATATAGTCAACACATAAGCGTTTGTTCGTCTAGCAACACAAATAAGTATGGATTAGGGTATCTTGGCTATATTCTGAGTGCAAAATAATTAGTATATGTGCACTATTAGGGCTAAGTATCAAAGGCTGAGGCTATGCATGTCTTCTCCGAAATGTATTAATTATAATTAAACAACACTGTATGGTTTACTATGACTGAAACGAAATCGTCCTGATTTGACCTTGCCTTGGACTTTCTCATTTAATCAGCGATTGCTATCATCGAAACGACGTCTGTAACCTACCTTTTTCATCTCGAATGTCTGAACGGCCAAGTTGAATCAGCACAAGCAAAAGTAACAGAGCAAAAATCGCACGTCTTTTCATTTTCACGTCCATGAAGCATGTGTCTATCAACAATGAAACTGACTAATATTGTTTCCGGTTTTATATACAGGTGTATTGTTATCAGGGAATGAGCCACTTTAACAGTCGACAACCACAAAGTTGTTTGCTTATTCGAAAGACAATAGTTGATTTATTTGAAAGATTGGTCTTTGATACTAGTGCAATCCAGCGGGGATCTGCTTATAATGCTGCAAAATATGTTGTTTGAAAGTAATCGGTAATCTTATTACAGACTAGTAAATATGCTCGAAATGTGATATAATTGACGGCCGATAATAGAAAAGGGACCGCTGAGTCTGTCTAAATATAACCTATTTTAATTTTGAAATAGAATTCAGGTGGTATGCTAATTACACTGTAAATTCCAAGGAATTGAATCAACTCCAAAAGTGTCATTCTGTCACCACTTGAAATTTACAGTATATACAGTATGCAGCAAATATAATGGTACATGCCTGCCACCCGCTCCGCTGTCTCTAATTTAGAGCTGATATATCCAGGATGTAAATAAGTTAGTTTCATTCAGTTTAAATAACCATTACCATTTTATTTAGCTAATAATTCATGTTCCTGAATTAACTAACCTTACATCAGCATTTAGCTCACAAATAGTTAATGGCATAGATGGTTTGGAACTGAATCTTATTAGAATAACAATAGAACTCATCTATGTTAGTCAAGATTTATTCACCATCACATGAGTGTTGTATTTTTGGCCAACTATCCAAAAGTAATATTTTAAGAAAGTTACCTATCCCTGACTCAAATATGGGTCTGATTGAAAATTATATACTATTGCCGTATTGGTAAATTTGACGGCGAAGAACCGGTGTCACAAGAGATTCGCCCCCCCCCCCCCCAACAGGAGATTCGTCCCCCAGGAGACTCGCCTCAAAAGTGGGGGGGGGGCGATATTCCTAGTTTAAATACTGTTTTTTTGTAATAATTAAATCACATAGTGTCATACATGCAATATGTAAAATAAGACGTTTTGAAGAATATATACGTCTGTATTTATAACAGAGAAAAAGAAGTTACTGTAAGGGCAATGTTCGTATCAGTATATAAATTAATACTAAAGTTGGCGATGCATTTAAATTTTTACAATGACTAAAAAAAAAAAAAAATCGAGTTGAAAGTACGTCTTGCGATGCTTAGTGTTTGAACCAATTTTATATGTCGAATTTCGGTCGCGTTGAATGCAATTCAAACAAGAGATAATGAAAGCTTAATGAGGTTTATTATCTCATTATCTATTGTCTTAATTGCATTCGACGCGACCAACATTTGACGTATAAAACAGGCCTTGGACAATATATAGCGCGATTGTTCTAAACATTTCCACCATGTATACCATCTTAACCATACGAAAGGGTTATTATTTATAAATTTTTATTTATTCACACTGTAGCATGACACACAGTGATCGCGCGTGCGCTATCTATATTATGCAATAGCAAAATATAATTAGACCATTAAGCCGCCAGGTCACGCAATTTATTTCTATAGTCAACACATAAGCGTTTGTTTGTCTAGCAAAACACATACAGTAAGTATAGATTAAGGTATCTTGGCTATATTCTGAGTGCAGAATAATTAGTATATGTGCGCTATTAGGGCTAAGTATCAGAGGCTGAGGCTATGCATGTCTTCTCCGAAATGTATTAGTTATAATTAAACAACACTGTATGGTCTACTATGACTGAAACGAAATCGTCCTGCTTTGACCTTGCCTTGGACTTTCTCATTTAATCAGCGATTGCTATCATCGAAACGACGTCTGTAACCTGCATATTTCATCTCGAATGTCTGAACAGCCAAGTTGAATCAGCACAAGCAAAAGTAACAGAGCAAAAATCGCACGTCTTTTCATTTTCACGTCCATGAAGCATGTGTCTATCAACAATGAAACTGACTAATGTTGTTGGCGGTTTTATATACAGGAAATGAGCCACTTCAACAAAGTGGTTTGTTTATTCGAAAGACAATAGTTGATTTGTTTGAAAGATTGATTCAGTTTTAAAGTAAGTAAAAATTTACGGATTGAGAGCCCTCACAAAATTAATAATTTCAAAGATGATACTATATAAAATTAAAATGCGGAAAGATACACTTAATATTAGGACATATATATTAATATATATATTAATATTGCAATTTCGGATATTTTTTTAAAATTTGTAAACAGAATATTTTTTGTTTGCTTCGTAACAAGCGCTTTATAAAAAATTTCTCAAAACGAGTATAATAAACCACTTGAGAGAATACTAGATTATGCACATGACCACACAAGCAAGGACGCCGGAACGACGTAAAGGCAAGGGGGCAGATTTCGTGAATGGGCACTTTTAAATTGACATTTTCTAAGAGATGTTTGCAAAACATCGGGAGTTGAACTTCTCCTAATCATGTTTCCTATTTATTGGATGATAGGGTTATGAAGGGGTTCTACTTCAGGTACTTATGCTATTCTTGAAGCTCGATGACAGCATTTCTTGCGTTTTCTGAAGCAAATTCGTAAACGAATTTGCACTGACAATTCGCTACCATTCGCCAATTACACTGACAATTTTTGGCAATTCCCTATTTCGCCAAGGCAATCCTTTAAATTGAAAGGGCAGCTTTGCCCTCCCCCTCCCCCTTTCCCCTCCTGGTAAAGGGCATTGGTGGCGGCTGCCACTCCTGCCCCTCAGTTCCGGTCTCCCTACATACAAGATTTCTATTTTTTAAAAAGCGTGCATGTTTGGCGTTTTACCAGTAAACAATGCAAAAATAAATAGATTTTTAGACGATCTCCCAAAGAGAAAATGAATGACTAAGTTTTGCTTACGCTATAAATACGGCGTCACTGATAGACGTATTTTAATTCATAAATTTTTCTTGTAATTATTAATATGTTTTTCAACCGGCAGGTTAACGTACATTTAATAGTTTCATTCAGTTTAAATAATTAGCTAATAACTCATGTTCCTGAATTAACTAACCATACTTCTGCATTTAGCTCACACATAGTTAATGGCAAAGATAGTTTGGAACTGAAACTCATCAGAATAACAATAGAACTCATCTATGTTAGTCAAGATTTATTCATAAATCTGCATGGTCCTTCACTGTCACATGAGTATTGTATTTTTGGCCAATTATAAAATAGCAATATTTTAGGAAAGTCACCTATCCCTGACTCAAATATGGGTCTGATTGGAAATTGTATACTATTGCCGTATTGGTGAATTTGACGTCGAAGAACCAGTGTTACAGGAGATTCGCCCCCACCAGGAGATTCGCCCCCCTCCAAAAGGGGAGCGATATTCCTAGGATATTCGCCCCCCCCCCCCTCCCAGGGGCATTCTTTATATAAAAGTTGACTAACATAGATAATGAGTTATATTGTTATTCTAATGAATTTCCAAACCATATTTTCTATTAACTACATAGCTCACACGATGATAATAATACTTGGTGAAAGCATATTATAATAGTTTTGTTTGTGGAAACACCACGTAAATTTTTACTGCAAAGCTTTCGATCCGTAAGCCCGAATCTTCATCAGTGCTAATAATCACATATTGTTAGCAATGGACCTAACCGAATCTCTATAGCAGTGGCGTGCTGGGTACTATTTTTCTTGGGGGGCCAGTGGGCTGTCAACAAATATGCGCCCCTATAGTGTTTCGCTTGATAAACGAGGGCCGAAGGCACGAGCCGAGCGCCGCAGGTGCGAGGTTTGTCCAGGGGGGGTCCGGGGGCAAGCCCCCGGGGAAATTTTTGAATTTAGAGTCTCTGAAATGCCATTTCCTGGACTTTGGGGGAAGATTTGACAGAAATCTGGTGGTCAGGAAACGGCATTATAACGTGTCGAAATTTGCAATTTGGTTTGAATTTAGTAGTAGTAATACTTATATTATGTAATGCTAACAACTTCCAGCGATTAATCTAATCCCAATTCTCTTCTGATCTAGTGATCTGAATACAATTACAACACACAGCTCTTTTATACAATAACACACGGACCTCCCTGCCTGGCTGCCAAAAGGGCGCGTTTCAGCATTATTTCATTACTCACATTACTCATGATGTTTCTAGCGCAAATTAAAGAACTAAATTGCGTATACAACTTTACATTATCATAACTTAAACTATCTAATTTGCGCCGCTCTTGTGATTCGTGAAGCATAATAAAGGGCATAATACCAGCAAAAAAGGGCATGATTCCCGTGATCATTACTTCCGGCACCTAAGTTTGCATACTAATTACTTCCGTTGCCAGATAGGGGGTATCACTACTCACGACAGATAGACTCGCGAGTTCGGAGAAAGGCGTACTTTAATAGTTTACATTAATTAATTCTTCAAGGAAAAGTGCGAGGGAAAGGATTTTTTTACCGATTACCACAAATGTGGGACATTTTGCGTCCGCAATCGTAACCATCGGTTTTACGCATAAATGATGATTCATCAAAAAATACAAACAAAATGGCGGCTCATAGTCTTCAAAGACAAATCGTGTTGTTAATATATTGAAGAGGAAACTCCGTGCTGACGGCTAAATTCCATTTTATTTTACTGCGATTGACTAATGTAAGATTGTCTGACATTTTTTACAACAGCAGAACCACTATTTGTGGCACGATCGAAGAAGTATTTTCCAAATTTGACGCGTTTACGCACGTATAATAAATGTATTTAGCTGGGAAATGTGCATAAATTTGCGTGATGGGCAGGGTAAGAGACTGGGAAGAGCATAATTAATTTAAAAACAAATATGGCGGAGAAGAAACGCAATGTATGAAAATTTTATCGTAGTTGTGCTGATAAAAATGGCCTCTTGTAGCATGTATGGATGAATAAAATGGCTAAGTTTTTCGAGGATTTTGGAAGTAGTTTCCTGCGGAATTTAGATACTTTTGTTGGCGAATATATAAACTTTGAATGTTACTGAAACAATTGCGATGCCAAGCTCAAGATTTCGCTTGATATATTTCCGTACACCAGGCTGCGTTTGTGGCGTGTATTGTCAGATTCACATGCAATATAAGGAGTTATTATGCTGGTGAATGTGATATCAATAGTGAGCTCGGGAAGTGAGTGTATTTTATTCTAGAATAGTTGTTAGAATTAATAGATTTCTGAATAAGCATAGCATGTGAAACGATGCCAAGTAAGCGTGATTTGCGGCTCATT